GGAGAATGTAACAGCTCACAGGCACCCCTCAACCAAGAGGGGACAGGAAGTGATGCCTTAAACACTCCCACTTCAATTCCTCTTAGGAGCAGTTCTACCTGGCTCCTGAGAAGGTGACCAGCTCCACAGCCTCTCTCCTCCTCTATTTACCTGCCTGGCTTCTCCTCCTCTCCCTGGGATGCCTTTCCAAATTCCCCATCTGTACCAAAGCCCAGTCTCAGGCTCTGCTTCTCCAAGGGGCCCAGGCTTAGACAGGCTGCAAATATCCTGTGAGGAATTTGAACTCTGTCCTGTAGAAAAAGCAAATAAGAGCTTTTCCAGAATTACAGCAACAACAATAACACTCGGATGCGCACAGAGTCACCATGGGGACACCAGCCGTGAGACGCGAGCATCGCACTGGGGAGAACCACTCAGGACAGGCTCAGCCTTGTACGAAGACTTCTGCTGGTAAGCGAGGGCTGGACATTCACTCCTTGGCCTGGCCACGGCCTCTGTTCAAGCACATTGTAGGGAATCATTCCTAGGCAAAGATACCGGGACAGGCCAGCAGATCACATGGTAGAAACAGTGAAATAACCAATGAAAGGACCAGCTTGGATATAAAGATGGGCAACTGGAAAGGAAGAAAATAATTTAGAAAGAAAAAACAAACAAACAAACAACAATGTGAGTGGGAGAGGAGAGGGGAGAAGTTCTCTGCTGAAACAGTTCATCTGTAAAGGAGGACAGCCCAGTAAGGTTGGAAGGCCTTCAGTCCAGAAAACGTAACTCTCTTTGGTTTTGCAGGAAGAAAGTAGAAACCAAAGAGGGCTTCGGTGCCTGCCCTAAGAAAGCAAGAGGACTTCCCTCCTTCAAAGGCAACCAGTGATACTGGCTCTTGCACCCTTCAAGGGATATTTATGACTTTGCACAAAAAAAATATACACAAAAGCTTTTTTTGGCTGGATGCGGTGGCTCATACCTGTAATCCCAGCTACTTGGGAGGCTGAGATGGAGGATCGCTTGAGCCCACGAGTTTGAGACTAGCCTGGGCAATAAAGCGGTTCCTGTCTTTAAAAAATAAAATAAAGTTTTAAAATAAAAATCAATAAAAATATTTTTTTCCTACTAGTTTACTCAAATAATACCATACTGTACACACCACACTGCCAGGTCCTTTTCCATATAACAATTCCAGGTGCCCATTCCATATCAGCCTATATGAGGGTTCTCATTCGTTTCCTGGGGTTATGTGATATTCCTTAACACGGATGTACCATAATTCATTTAAGCAGTCTCAAACTGACGGACATTAAGGTCATTTTCTAATTTTTGCTGCTATAACAAATAGTGAAATGAATAAACTGGTATAACATATTCTTAATGTGCTTTTATTATATCGAGGGCATGGATGATTTTTTCCCCACTAAAACAAAGATGCAATTTAATATGACAAACCATATTTATTGAATAAAAATGTATTATCAAAAACACTGTTGTCATATGTATTGGATTTGTAGGGTATACTTTATAAGAAAATACTAGTTATTATAGCTCGTAATAGCAGTTTTCTGTTTGCATGATCTGTTTTCAGAAACAGATCATGTAAATACTGAGTGACTTTTAGCATCACTTGCCTCAGGATGGCCAAAACCAAGGGTGTTTGCTCAAAGCAGTAAGGGCAGTGAGCACAGAACGAGGCACATCTGCTCAGTTGATTTAAGAAGCTTTGAGCCTGGAATCAGGAAGCCTGGGTCTGATTCCTCACCCTGCCACTGTGAGCCTTTCAACAAAATAGGGATGGTGATTCCTGCCCTATGGACCTGGCAAAGTGGTTCTGAGGGATAAAACGGGAAATTAGTTCACATACGTGAAATGTGTTTAACACTAAATGTCTGAGCTCACGTTAAATCTCCTGTTATTCCTTTGTTGCTTACAGTGCTGTATGTGAAGGTCAGTAGATAATCCATCTATGGAATAAGTTCTGAAATGCGTTTCATAGAAGAAATGACACTGGACGTGACCATTTTAATTAAACGCACCGAATGGTGGCCCACATACATCCTAATGTTTTTAAATTCAGCCAAATAAAGAATCAGTGGGAAGACGGATCACTATTGGCTAACCATCACAACTTTTTTTTTCTGGCTTCCTCCCTTCCTCTCCATCTCATCTACAGTTATTAAAATCAAGTTCACTGCTAACAATCGTGATTGGAGAGAAATCTGGAAGCCATTCGAATCTGATGGAGTAGGTAATCTCTTTTTGCCAACTAACACTGTGTTAGTATTCTTGGATACACAGGTAACATCATCTCTCTGGATTCATTTGGAAATGATCAATAAAACAAACGAGAAAACGAAATTTAAGTACTTTGGAAACTGAAATGCTGGTGTGTCTGGAATTGAGAAATATTAGGAAACCTGCTCGTTTCACTCATTAAAACCTTCAAGACGTGTCCTTACCACAGCAAACAGGTACCCTCCCCCAACCCACTCTTCTCAGTGAAGCCATTCAAGTTTCCAGTCCCTCTTTTCTAGTCACTGACTCCATGGCAACGGGCCACTGACCTGCCCTTAAGGGAAAAAGAATCTCTGGCAAGGCTGAGACTTTTAATAATTCCACTTGTCAACATAGGGCAGAGAGAAACAGATGGATTTGTACCAACTAACTTAACAAACCTACTAACAAAATGAGTAGCTCCCAGCAAGTGACCAGGCCCAGTGTCCACAGTGTCCCCTGGGACAACCAAACATCACATCATTAGTGTCCAAGAAAATCCACACCACTGACACCTGTCCATCAAACTGCTCAGAGAGTGTGGGTGTCTTCCTGCAATATCTTCTTGATTTACCATTTCCCAGGAAGGTAAATGTATACTGGGTGCCTCATTCAAAGCGATTATTAATTGGATTACTAATTTCCTCCACCATTTATTTTTGACAAATAAATACAAAAATATCTGCACAAGAGGGCATATTTTGAGTTACAAGTTTCCTGATAGGAATATTGTCCAGAAATATCAGTTTCTGTTGACCAAACTTCCCTCTCGGGGGAGGACAAGAATCTAGAAATACCACTTTCAATATCCAGGATCTAAACTCAGCCCTAACACAGAAGAGACACTCCTCCTGCTCTCCTTTCCCTTAAGATGTTCGAGTGTGCATCCTGCAGGTTGTAACAGATTGCCTTTTTGGTGGCTTTGTTCTCTGATTTAGAAATATAAACACTGCTTCAGAGTTTTATTTTACAATTCATCTTCTGATTTGTCATGGCTGGGAAGGTCGGCTTTCATATCTTCTATTCTAAATTACTTTGGAAGAGATTTTGCAAACAGACTAAGGAATGGCTTTTGTCTGGACCGGAACAAACTGAAAGTTGGGACTCAAGTCCTCTCTCTCTTTTGTTAACATGTAAACAATCAGAAGCCCCACAATTTTCCCAAAGCAATTATTTGGAAAATAATAAACAGGTGCTTTGGAGACACTGGGTTATAAAAACAAAATGGCAAATTATATTTTCACGGGCCCAGCTGCTGCACTGATGTGATTCTGTGGAAGGTTCTCCTAGGATCTGAAGCTCAATCAGCAAATCAACTGAGATCATCCCCGTCTGCGCCAACGGGACCACGGTGCCACCCCGCCCTCCTCCCTCTCAGGGCTTTCTGATGAAGCCCCTCTGCCAATGCCAGTCCCAAGTCCGTCAGCCCGAGGCTCCTTTGCTTCCCATTGACACTGGAGGACAGGAGGCCCGTTCCAGTTTAACTAGGATTAGCGACCACTGGAAGGAGCAGTGTGGTGGGGCTGTACCTCCTATCGGCTTCTTTCTATCTGTCCCAGCCCTGGTGTGCCTGAGAAGCCGGGCTCAGCACCGACTCTGCAGGGGCTGACTGGCGTGGCTGGCTATCACTTTCCTTCAGTAGGAAACGGATAGGACCAGGCAAAGCAGATGGTCCCTCAAGGGGCACATCCCCAAAAATCTGCTAGCAAACTCTGGTGGTGCCTTTCAAACACACAGTCACTTACTGGAGAGGAAAATCAGATCTCCCCGGCCACCTCCTGCCACAATCCATCCCCGCCTGCATATGTGCCCACTTAGGAGTTTTTTAAATCCTTGGTGAGGCATAATAACTTTGTCTGGGGCAAAGGACAGCCTGTCTTTCTAAGCTTCCTAGAGATAGCCACGTTCCCATATCTGTCAGTGAAATGCTCCCATATCTGTCAGTGAAACCTGTTATCTAAGTAAGACCACCTTCAAGAGACCTGACCTGTGGATCATGGGCAGTCACCCAGTCCTAAGAGAAGCAAATACAAATATCACATATTTGGCAGGCTGGGTGGAACTACAGATGGAGCCAGTGACACCTCAAATGGCAACTGAAACCGTGTTTCATCATAACACGCTAATGGAGGGTTTTTTTTTTCTTTCAAACTCCAAATAAACCCACAAATGACTTGGTAGAAGTCCTAGGTCTGACTGTATGAATTTGAACAAATCATCAAACATTTCTGGGCTTCACCTGTAAAATGAGGGGCCTGGGCTAGAAGATTTTTTATTTTATTATTATTTTTTTTTTGAGACGGAGTCTCGCTCTGACGCCCAGGTTGGAGTGCAGTGGCGTGATCTCGTTCACTGCAAGCTCTGCCTCCCGAGTTCACGCCATTCTCCTGCCTCAGCCTCCCGAGTAGCTGGGACCACAGGCACCCGCCACCACGCCTGGCTAATTTTTTGTATTTTTAGTAGAGATGGGGTTTCACCGTGTTAGCCAGGATGGTCTCGATCTCCTGACCTCGTGATCTGCCCGTCTCGGCCTTCCAAAGTGCTGGGATTACAGGCGTGAGCCGCCGCGCCCGGCCTGAACTAGATTTCTAAGGTCCCTTTGGCACTAACATTCTAGACTTCTTTGGGTGAGGGTGGCTCTCCTCCAACATTCCAGCAAATCGCACCTACAGTTAACCCGCCTGTTGACTCGGCATGGACTAAAACAAGAAGGGCTGTTTCCATCACACATAGCTCACCTTGTCCACCGCCGTGTGTTCTTCGTGTGTGACGTTTGTTTTTCTTGGTTCGTTTTTAGACTTGCTCAGCTTTCTGGATACTTTTTCTCTGAGTAGGGTGGCATATCCAATGTGTTCGTAGATGGGGTTAGTTGTCATTTTTGAAATGTACTCGGCAGCTTTTGTTTCTATGTACAGTGTTATCAAGCCATCTGTCACCAGATCGTGAATCGACTCAAACCTCTTCTCGCCCACAAAGTGTTTCCCGTCGTGGAAAAGCCTGTAGTTTAAGGTCTGGTTTCCAAACCTGCCCATGACAGAATGAGGGATTACAACCACGTTAGAAATAAGCACAGTGTGGAATGATAATAACAGCAGCTAACATTTTTTGAATACTTAGTGTAGCCCAGGCACAGGGCTAAGCACTTGATGTGATTTTCTTTTCCCCTAATGATCATAGAGACCCTTTGAGATGGTATAATGGTTATGCCTGTTTTACCGCAAAGGCAACTGACACTTGAAGAGATGGCGGTTCCTGCTTGAGTTTATATGCCTGGAACAAGGCACAGGTGGGGCTTAACCCCAGGCCGTCACATGGAGTCATTTGATCCTAGAAATCACTAAGGTCATTGTCAGTATCCTTCTCATTTGTAAAAGTCAGAGGGTAATGCCTGATTTATAACTATGTTACTTATAAACTTACTTAATGGGAACCAGCTCTCCTCTCTACCTGGCAATTACTCTGCAAGGGATGCCCTGCCCCTCGTCCTGATGCCCCTTTATTATCGCATCTTTACCACCTCCAGTAGAGCACCCCATGCCTTCCACCCTAGTTGGTGCAACAGAAGGGAAGCAATAAGGTGTGCTAAACTCCCTGCTGGAGCCATTGCCAGCATCCCCACAATCTAATCTATAGGTTCCCTCCTCTCTGAGCCCTGGCCTTCCATCTACAGCCCCTGTTTGACTCCCCACTAGAACTGCCAGCTTCTGCTACTGAAGCGCTGGGAAGATAGGAAAGTATTTTGCACACCTAGAGCGCGTGATATAATAGCTTTTTAAGTTCATCCTCATAATTACATTATTTAAGATACGTTGTAGACATACTGCAACTTGGAAAGTGTCACTGCACAGCCATAATAGGGAGATGGTGCATGGAACACACCACTGTGGGCCTGGGAAGGGCTCCCACGGACACCATTCCCTCTATGGAGAGAGGGTTTTCCAATTCCGAAGAGTTCACAAACGAACTTTTGAAAGACAATTCAGTTCTGAAACTGGATACCTTCCCCAAAACGTACAGGGCTGCGGTGAGGATCAAATGACAGAAAATATTTGATCAAGGTTTGAAAAGTGCCATAAATGCACTGTCTTTCCTGTGTTGTGATGTTTAATAGTTGTGATTTTGTGGTAAAGGCTCAGTAGAGCCTGTTCTACTGGCTCATTGGCCTGAAGGGTCATGACTGCCCTCACGACAGGTTCCTGGGATCAACAAGGTGATCCCTGAGAGAACCCCATGAGCAAATGCAGGTCTTGTGAGGTCTGCACGTGCAAGGCCAGGTGAAGGAGCCCTTCCTTCAACATGGGTTGCTGGGAGCTGAGGCAGAGATGCTGCGGCCTCGGCCAGCTAGATGGTGCAGGCAGAAGTGGCTGTAGAAACACTAGCTTTCCAGATGGTTCTCCAGTTTACTGTGTGTCCATACTCAGAGTCCCAGTGTCCACACCTACTGATAGCATCTGTGACTGAGGAAATGTATACAACCTCTGATAGACTGCTGGTACTTCAGAAACAAGTGAAGATACCAAGTAAGGAGTAGGGAGGGTAATTGTTTATGGTAGCGGGTTTCTGTTTGGGATGATGAGAAAGTTCTGGAAATGGATATGGAGATGTTTGCACAACATTGAGAATGTACTTAATGCCACTGAATTTTACTTAAAAATGGTAAAAGGAGGCCGGGCGCGGTGGCTCATGCCTGTAATCCCAGCACTATGGGAGACCGAGGCGGGTGGATCACGAGGTCAGGAGCTCGAGACCATCCTGGCTAACACGATGAAACCCCGTCTCTACTAAAAATATAAAAAATTAGCCAGGCGTAGTGGCAGGCACATGTAGTCCCAGCTACTCGGGAGGCTGAGGCAGGAGAATGGTGTGAACCCAAGAGGTGGAGCTTGCAGTGAACCGATACCACCTCACTGCACTACAGCTTGGATGACAGGGCAAGACTCTGTCTCAAACAAAAAAAAAAAAAAAAAAAAAAAAAAGAAGGGAAAAAGGAGACCAGATGCAGTGGCTCATGACTGTAATCCCAGCACTTTGGGAGGCTGAGGCAGGAAGATTGCTTGAGCCCAGGAGTTCAAGACCAGCCCAGGCAACATGGTGAGACCCCCTTCTCTACAGGAAAAAAAAAAAAAAGAAAGAAAAGAAAAAAGAAAAAAAATTAGCCAGTCATGGTGGTGTGTGCCTGTGGTCCCAGCTACTCAGGAGGCTAAGGTGGGAGGCACTTGATCCTGGGAGGCAGAGGCTGCAGTGAGCAGTGATTGTACCACTGCACTCCAACGTGGGTGAGAGAGTGGGGACCCCCCCCTCATAAAATAAACATGGGAAAAACGATGAATTTTGTGTTATGTATATTCTACTGCAATTCTTAAAAATGGGCAAACATCAGTGAAGCCACTTGTACAGCAATGAAAGCAAGGAATGAAATGCGCCTCACCTGAGAGCCAGCGTGTAGCATCCTGGTTGCCGCTGGCTTTCTCTAAGGATGTAGGCACCCTCCACGCCTCCGAGAAGCTCATCCGCCTGCTCCCGAGAGATGATCCCATGAAACCTGAAGGTGCAAGACCATCATTGCTCTGAACAGACCACATACAGAATAACAACCACAAAGAACTAGCCTTAGAAGGATGGCGGGGGTAGCCAGAATCGACGGCCCCCCAGCTGAGTGAAGAGGGGAGTGACTGCTGCACATCTTAAGTGACTTGGAACCACCCCTCACATGCTCCAAACACAAGTATGCAAGCAGGCAAACAAAAGGAAGAATGCCCAGTCCACCTGGCTTTCTGCTATTGTCTTTGCTCTCAAGTTGAAAATGAAAGTTGAAACAAAAAGCCAGGTTACTCAACCACCCCCCCCCACATTTTTTTTAACCATGGGAAATAACAGAAGAGCAATTACCAATTTAGCTCTCAGCTCAGAGAACTATGTGTTATCCTAATTGCAAGTGGACATTTATTGATTAGCAACCTGCTTGCTTCAGTTCAGGGTGATGTTAATTTTAGAGGCTCATTTTCTGGAAAACAGTAGTGATAATCAACATTCTTCCAGCTGGGTTGGGGAGTGAGGCAGTGCGAAGGGACTCCAAGCTTCTGGGAGAGGAGTAACACCTCTTTCTAGGATTACTCAACCTTGGAGAACTTTGGAGAATAAATCAGAGAATAAATTTTCTGGATGGAGAAAAACTCCTTTACTTTCTTGAAAGGAAGAGGGGGAAAGGGAAGTCAGCTAAACAAGTTTTGTTTTGTATCTTCCTCAGGAATGCAGAGATTAAGTTAGGGTACAAATGTAGAAGAGTAACATTTTTAAAAGTGCCTATCACAATATTTATTTCCTAACTCCCTTTATCCTTAAAAAGTAGATCTTCCAAGCTGAAGCTTCTGTCCAAGCAAAGTGAGGTCAGAAGCAGCCCGTGGCTTTGTGCTTCAAAATCGCTTCTTAAAGGTGTACGGCAGTAACGGCCTGGAAGAAATAGGCTTTCTGGCTTCCCAAAGTTTGATTTTAAATCTCAAGAGCTGATACCTGGAGGTCTTGGAGCAATGCTCTTCTGAGTGAGGATGAACGTTCTGTGCATCCCCAGTTCTGGTGGGAGGGACTGAGGCAGAGCCCAGTCTCAGGGGGTTTAAATGGCCCTGCATAGCAGGTATGGATTGGAACTGGGAGGCCAGTTTATTGGGGCCTGGAGCAGAGGTGTTGGGGCTTTGACAGTGAGGCCACTGGACCTAGGAACCTTGCGGAGGAGCCTCTTGTGCAGCCTGAGCCAGGATGGAGAGGGTAGACGGCCTGGGCGAAGAGCCCTGGGGGCAGCCTTGCGATGGGTTGGTGGATGGGTTGGCAGTGAATGTGGGGGTGGGTGTGCGGTGGGAGGGGACGTGCAGCGGGAGAGTGGGAGGGGCAGACAGCATTGCCAATATTCCTACACACAAGTAGAAAAGACAAAATCTGGGATGTCGAAGACACAACCTGTGGGCCAGAGTAACAATAGCAGGACAGGGAACACAGAGGGACCTGCCCCAGGTCACTGCAGCAGAAGGGACAGGAAAAGGGGGAGTCTCTAAACCTAAAAGCAGCTAGATTTTTTTTTTTTAAGAGACTGACTCTCACTCTGTAGCCCAAGCTGGAGTGCAGTGGCACAGTGGCGTGATCTCAGGTCACTGCAACCTCTGCCTCTAGGCCCAAGCGATGCTTGTGCCTCAGCCTCTCCAGTAGCTGGGACTACAGGCATGTGCCACCATGCTGGCTAATTTTTTGTATTTCAGTAGAGACGGGGGTCTCACCATGTTGCCCAGGGTGGTCTCGAACTCCTAAACTCAGGCGATCCTTGTGCTGGGAATACAGGCATGAGCCACTGTGCCCAGTCAAAAGCAGCTAAGTTTTATGTTTCTTTTTTTTTTAATGCTTGATTTTGAATATGCATACTTTTTCTATTTTTATTTTTAATTGATACATAATTATTGTACATATTTATGGGGAATGTGTGATATTTCGATACATAAGTACAGTGTGTAATGATCAAATCAGGGTAATCAGGATGCCCATCACCTCAAGCATTTATTGTTTCTTTATGTTGGGAACATTTGAAAGCCTCCCTTAGCTACTTTGGAGTATACAATAAATTGTTTTAACTACAGTCACCTTGCTGTGCTATTGAACACTAGAACTTAAGTTTTAATTCACTTGAATTGGCAAGTTTAAGTCATCGACAGCATCAAACGCTGTCAAGAACTAAATTAAATTCAATCATTCAAAAGAAGAAAATGACAATTTTGTGCACCTGAAGACCCAGTCTGTGGCTTGTCATCCCCTTTATGCATGGTTTCTGAAAGTCCAAATATCTCCAACCTATAATATCTAATACATTAGTATGATTGCAACTTGGCAAGAAAAAAAGCAAGCATGCATGAAGACCAGAAAGAGATGAAGGGAAAAGGTTAGCAATGATTCTCTTTCATGGTGGAACTATGGGTATTTTCCATCTTGTATTTTCCTTTATTTTCTAATTTTTCCAAGTTAATTGGTATTAATGTATTAATTTTTTTTTGATACAAGGTCTCACTCTGTCGCCCAAGCCAGAGTGCAATGGTTCAATTGACCTCCTGGGCTCAAGTGATCCTCCCACCTCCCTCCTGTGGTCCTGAGTGCAGCTGGGACTATAGGCATGTGCCACCATGCCCGGGTAATATTTGTATTTCTTGTAGAGATGAGGTCTTTCCATGTTGCCCAGGCTGGTCTTAATCTCCTGAGCACAAGTGATCTGCCTTCCTTGGCCTCCTAAAGTGCCAGGACTACAGGCGTGAGCCACTGTGCGCAGCCATAATTTATTTTTAAAACAAAAACAACACCTGTGCACAGCAGAAAATTCTAATTTCAAAAGTTGAAGGTACAAAAGAACTAAAAATGCAAAAGTCCTCTCTCCCTAAAGGTATCCATTGTCAATAATTTCTTGTGATTCCTTCTAGGAATAAATGTGTATGTGCGTTTCCTGAATGAAGCATGTATTACTTTTTAAGTGGAAGAAAAAAACACCATTCATTTAAAAAAAAAAAATAAACGGAAACACAGCATCTGAAGGTTTTAGGCTAATTACCATCTAATAAAAGATGTTCCCCTTTTGGTAGTTAAGAAAATACTTCCTTAGTCTCAAGACTCTCATATGTTTTACATGAATTGGGGGTAAGAAGATGAGAACTAAAAAGTCATTCAAGAAAACTTTTCTGCAAGAAAGAAAATGCATAATAAACAGCTCCTTTTAGAATTCACATGCAAAAGTGTAGATGGTAGGTTTTCATTTTCTTCTATTTTTAAAAAATTAATTGTGCTATCTTAAAGAAAAAAACAAATAAGCATACTGAGGGAAAAAAGCCATACTACAACATAGATCAGATAGTAGGGACATGGGGTGGAGAGGAGCGGAGGCCAGTGCCCCCAGGCAGGCATTCCAGAGGTGCTGGTCAAATTCCCAGGGCGCTGCAAGGAAGGTCCTGAAATGCAGCTGTGGCAATTAGGAAGGTGCACTGGGCTGGGACCACTAAGAGGGTCATTAATCATGAAGATGAGGCTCTGACGGGTAAGGGAATAAGACGAAGGTTTAGGATTGGCTGTGAGAGCTTGGAAGGCAGACTCTAAAGAGACGTTGCCTCACAACGCCTCCAGGTTGGACTTGGGAAGAAAAGTGATTGATGCATCTCCTCTCCCCTGGCCTATTCTGCCTGCCCTCTGTGATGTGTTGTACACAACATAGGCTTAGACTGTGAATTATTTTTATGGTCATGCGTATTTGCTGGGCAGTAGGTTTTGGAAAAAAATGAAACAAAACAAGAGTTGAAATTAAGAGAAAAATGGAAAGGAGAGTATTAAGGCAATTTGGCTAATACAGCCAAGCCAAGAGAAATCATTTGGGTTTTATGAGAATGCAGGGAAGTGGGATACCTATCCTGACCACTGCACGGAGGTACACAAAAGTCAGGAACTCAGATACAATGTACCATCTTGGACACCCCAAACGTTTCTATTGTGTTGAGGTAGAAAGTGAAATGAAACACTGGCAGACAGCCTCCATTATGAAAAATGCTGCCTTACATTTCAAGTACTTGCCAGGCACTCAGTAGCTCTTTTGTGGAAGGAAAAGTAGCGCAAGATGCTCTCCCTCCCACATTAATGGAAACTAAGCACTTGAGTGCTATAAAAAATATTAATTCAAAGGAGTCTGATTGCATTTATTCTTATCATTAAACTCTTGCATAATAGACATATGATGACCATATATTAGAAAATTTGTAATATTTAAATGACACATGAAATGACTACTTATTAAATTATTAAAACAAAGAATAGTATAATACATACTCTCTTCCATAATATTTTGGTCTGTTTTCCACCTATATTAAAAAGAAAACAAAATTAATAATGCATTTGAATTCAAATCAGCGAGATAAAAATGCTACTAAAATAAACAGAACTAGGGTCCTGGTAGTAATTTTATTACAGATTATATCCTCCAAATCAGAGATCTATGAAGCTATGGAGTTATAATCAGCACATTCCAGTATCAGGTAGGAATGATCTAGAATCACCACATTTCTGCAATCATTAGGCTCACTTCCCACCCAAACCCAATCATCCAATAAGAGAGTTTTCAACAAAAACAAAGCGATGCTTATTTTAATATCAAGGAATTTGTAAGGGTATTATAAGGCTTCATCCTGAATGATAAAACAACTACTTCTGTCATGAATAAAACATAAGCATTTATTTCACTCTGTGCCTAATTGTTTTTATTATGTATTTATAATTAAAACAAGGAGTCTACCTGGATTAAAAAATAAAGCAGACTTAACTCGATCACGTTCCAAATAAAGTCAATATTCTAACATTCTTATTTTTTCAACATGTGGCTAATGAGCTGAAATTCATTTGACACCAGAGGTGCAGGCTACAGAGGACAAGATTTATGACTTGACTAAAACACAAACATTCCAGAAAGATCTTTCAATCACAGCTTTAGCCTTGAGGTGATCACATTCGATTTTTCTCACATACATGATCATCTGCTTTCATAAGGGCTTTGTGTTCGCATGTTTATGATGTTGGAGTTGGTGAGAAAGTGACATGATTTCTCATGCTCAGCCTTTGTTCTTCTCCCCTAACTCCAGGGACACTCAAAACATAGGAGAGCCACATTAAGTTATGGGTTTTTATTAATGGTTATATGTATGATAGCAAGTTTATGTTTATTCACTGTTGTAGGATATGAGCTTGGCAGCTGTTTTATTCACAGTCATTTCTTCCTAGAGTCAAATGAACAGTTTTCACAGCAGGGCTCAGGGACGGGCATAGTAGCAGGATTTCATGATACGGGGCAGTTTCCTGGCCTAGCTCCATCCTCCAAAGGATGCAGATCTGAATAGGTAGCAGGACACTAGGAGCTCAGGGAAAAGGCTCAGAAAGGTGGACTGGGGCTTTGGGGACCACACTCACAATGCCACCTAGGATAAGCCTTGCTGGTACAAAACTTACCATCTAGACATTTCTAAATATGTGTTCACTCTTCTGTGCATTTTACACCTGAAAATTACTCAACCAAACAGGACATCCATAACTTAATCTTCAAGGTTCAAAGCCTGCTAGATGTCATTTGTGAAGGAAGATTTAAATAATATCATTAATAGAAGCAATATATCCAGGTGTAAAAAGGCACCTGGTTATCTGATATCCTTTCTATAAATTATGTGTGCCATTATTCTACAGGCTGGTAAGCTTTTTAATGAGAATTGAATATGTTGTCATTTATATCATTCTTTTGGCTTTCGAAGTTCTTTTTTAGTTTTATAATATTATAGATATGTGACTGTAAAACCAACATGACAGTGAAGAAATTTAGGACTAGAATAGTCAATGAAAGTCGATGATATATAATGGCAAAATCTCCACTCTTTGAGAGGTGATATTCCAAAATTTGAAGTGATTCTCCATATATGAGGACAATTTTTAAATTTCCATCTTTTTGGCTGAACCATAGCACAAGTCTGCAAAATCTGGGTATAGCTCTCAACCCCATTCCCTTCCTGTATCTTATTTTCCTAAAAGAGAAAGAGTTACTAACTTCCCAGATGAGCCACATGGTAATACTACTAACTCTTGGCATGCAGGTAAACAGTTAATAAATGCTGAATTTAATTGATTCTTAACAAGACAACAAATTGCTTTCAGTTCATCAACCAATCATAAAAATATATAGCACCCCTATGTTCTGGGCTCTATGCTCATGCCAGCCATTGTACATGAAATAATGACCTTGCAGGTGCAGAGAGGAAAGGCATGAGGTACTCAGGGGTGTTCTGTACTTGCAGCAGAGGGAAATGCTTAAGGAGAAATCTAACATAGACCCCCAAAGAGGGAAGCTGATATTTAGGGTGCCTTGAAAGATGCCAAATAAGATTCTGCCCGGAAGAGAGTTTGATCCAACTGAGAGACAAATCTTCTGAAAATGAAAACCACTAGAAAATAAAAGAAGAGCCCTGAATTGTGTGGGACAGGCATGGAAGAGGGCCATGGAATAGGTCCCAAATATTGCATGAGATACATACTAATATATGATTCCTTGCATATCTGAAATTTAAATTTAACTAGGCATCCTGGTCCCTCCTTCCCTCTCTCCCTTCCTCTCTCCTCTTCTCCCTTCCTCCCTTCTCCCCTCCCTTCCCCACTCTTCCCTTCCCCTCCCCTCTCCTCCCCACTTGCTTTCCCTCCCCTTCCCTTCCTCCCTCCCTCCCTCCCTCTCTCCTTCTCTCCCCACTCTCTCTTTCTTTCTTTCCTAAATCTGGCAAACCTACGTAGGGGACAGGAAAGACAGAAGTAAGAGACAGTAAAGATAGAGGACGTGGTTGGCCATCTGATCACTGCTTCTACTGGTTGGGGGCCATTTCGACAGCAATCCAATCTCTCCTTCCTTTTTTGTCCCTGAAATTCTTAAAGAAAATATATGTGTCCTTGTTAATGTCAAAGAGAAAGAGAGGCTGGGATCAAGAAAACAAAATCTTCTTCTTTTTATAAACTTTTTACTCACAGGAGTCTAAACACAGTCTCTCTTTCTATACTTCACTAAGCTTTAAACCAGTCAAGAGCTTAATGTTTAAGTTAAATGATGCTATACAAGTCATACAATGTCCACATTTCTTCAAGGTGGATAATACTGGATCCTCAGATCCAGACAGAACAGGTGGCTGGGGGCTAGGGTTTCCAGAGACAAAGCTCTGCTAAGAGACTAGGAACCTCTGTGCTGTGCCCTCAGCAGTGCCTTAGAGAAGCCTGACTCACTCCCTGGCAAGGCTCTGTGTCAGCCATCAGTGGAAACCAGGACCCACCTGTGAAACTGAATTTAATAAAATAAACTGTAGCTCTCAATTTCTGTTTCCAATTTTATGAGATTCTCTTCAGTAGGTGTGAACGCAACAGGATAGTTGATAAATAAAAAGTAAGGCAACTTAGAAGTTCTTGCATTCTCATTGAAAACTATGTTTGTTCAAATCAGGTAACTTAATCAAAAAATTTAGGTGGTCACATGGATTCAGAAAGGAATGGAAAATGCAATATATCCTGACATGAGTGAAGGTTGGTTCTGGAGCTTCCCTGCCATGGTGACTATCCTAGGACAGCAGCTGCAGCTGGTCAATCCATCACCTGGTGAACCTGGCCTTTATGAATATGACTGACAGCTGTCAGATCTGCCATGTCCGCTCTTGGGATTTAGTGCTCTGAGTCCAAGAAATGAAGGCAGCTCATTCTTTTTAAGAGAAAGAAAATACGTGGTCATGTTAGATGGATTACTAGATCCTCTAATCCTTAGATGATCCAGCTGGCTCAAAAAGGAACACCTCTCTTTACAGAGGCAGAGCATCAAGTAGGAGGTCATTGAGAAAACACATGAAATGGGTCTGTCCCAAGGCACAGAGGGTTTCAGTGTTTATGGTGCGACCATGCAGAATGGTGGCTGATTCTTTTTTAAAATAAAACTGAACATTTTATCCTAAATAAGCATCATCTACAAGAGAATAGCCCCCAAGGTAGGCACAATACATGCCACTTATATCCCTGTTGACCAGAACATTTTTGGAATTTCTCTTTTGGAACTACCTTAATTGTGAATTCACCCTTTCTTGTGAATATCCTTAAATGTACACTTCTTGAAGTGTGGGCTGGTCATTCAAAACAGAAACTTCAAGATGCTTGTTGAAGACTGCAGACAGCATCCCCATCTCGGACCAGCTAAGCCAAAATTACTGAGGGTAGGGACATGACATGTAATTTAATCAAGCCCCTTAGATGATTTTAAAGCACATACTAAAGTCAGAATCACTATATGTAGAAATATACATAAGTTTGTTTTTTGGAGAATGATTTTGAAAGCGCATGTTATTTCAGCAAACAGGCATACATTATTTGGAGCCAAGACCAGTAAGTAAATGGGGTGAGTGACCAAACTAGGAAAAACATTTGAGACAAAAACGAGGCATGATCATAAGATAATAGGATTTTCACTGTGACTTGCTCTGAAGGAATTTTAGAAGAGACATTCCCAACCCGCTCTGAGCAATGGGAACTTGGCAGAAATCAAAGCAGAGCTTCCCAAGATGACTGATGGGAAGAGACCATGCCCATGAAACAGATGTGTTAAAATAACATCTATGTTAAGACTTTATAGTTACATCTCAAGTATAATTAAACTGTTAGCACTGTGACTACTGGAGATGGGTTCCATCCTGTCTAGTCCTATCCCTACAATCCACAGTCCACACACCGTGCTCCCATATATGTGAGGCTATGTGAATGTTATGTTTTCAGCCCAACGGCCTCATCACCCTATGTTCATCCTCTGCACTCATCAAACCAAATGACTTGCAGTTCCATAAGTGTATGCCCTCTAATATGCCCATCATTTTTACGTGGTCTTATTTTAAGATCCTGAATTCTCTTTCAAATGAGGCAGATCATATGTGGGTTAAGAAGGCAGGCTCTGGACCCAAACTGCCTAGGTTTGAGGCCAGATCTGTAGGAATTTAAGCAAGTTATCTATTTCTATACTCCTCAGTTTTCTTATCTTTAAAATGAAAATGATAATACAAGTACCTACCTCATGGGGTTGCTGTAAGAGCTAAATGAATAAATATGTGTAATATGCTTGCAACAGTGCCAGGCGCAGACAGCCAGTCATTTGCTATGAGCTATCACTGGGATCCAGAGAAGGTCTCCTCTGTACAGAAGGAAGGGTTAGGCCCATCCTTTGCTGTGTTCTTAGAGCTCCTTTTACATATCTTCATTAGAAAACTTATCTCACCATGTTTTAAATATTTATTTGCCATTTTTTCCTAACTGTTCCGTG